AGCTACCTCTCCGTCAAGATATTTTTTAAAGAAACCGCATTTATGACGTTGGTTTTTTGAAAAACTTAAAATGTGCATGTGTCCAATACATTTATGTCGAATTCCCCTTTGGGTTCTGTTATGGTAGCTATTCCTTTTCATTCAAAATTATTATACCCTACACAACTTATTGTCAGGGTATTATAGCTTTGTGCAGCCCCAAGAATTTGTAAAGCCGCGAAATATTGGTCCTAGACCCACCTTTAAATATACCGATCGTCATATCTCGACTAGCTGAGTCGATCTAGATATGTGTGTTCGTCCGTCCGTATGTCCATTATATTTTGTAAACACGATACAGGCCACAGTTATGGACCAATCTTCACGAAATTTTTTTGTTTTTGGTAAAGATCGGTTAATATCTAGGGGATGAAATGGACCAAATACTTAACTTTTATCGGTTTTTCTGGTCGCTCTAGAGGCCGCAATTATGACCTAAACATTGTACATAGAGAAGGGGATCGGGCCAAAGAATAAGCATACCTGTTTTTATAAGGATCGGTCAATATTTAGCGGGTCAAATAGACCCTGACTTTTGTGCGAAAAATTACAAAATTTGTATTCTATTGCATATAGATTTACCCCTGAAGGACATAGACCCGAAAAGTTGTTGGTACATCCAAGGGCAGTGCTTGACCTTTAAATTCATACCAATTATATGGTCGTATGTACTCAGATGTGGGAGTTACACTTAAATATTTACAGGTACTAATGTATTCCGATATTATTTAGTAACCCTTTACCACACTAGAGGACGGAAATATAGGATAAAGCCTACAATTTACGGTGACGATCAGATAATCATATTGTCATGAAGTGGACCGAAAACTTCATTTTTTGTGTTTTTTCGAGTCGATCTGTAGGCTCCAATGATAATAAGAAGATCACAACACAAGGGAAGGTAATCTGGACAAGTAATTAGAAGGGCTGTACTGAACATTAGTAATAATTGTCGGCCTCTAGTTGATCCAGATGGTTCAAAAATCGCGAAATATTGCCCAAGTTCAGAATATAGATCCTCAGAAAGTTAGTTCTTCGTGAAAGTTGCTCCGCTCACTGATTTTTTTTTAAGAAACCACATTTATGACGTTAGTTTCTTTTAAAAATTTAAAATGATGAACAAGGTAACCTAAACAAAGAAACTACTCCAATTTCGAGCGTCATCCAGAGCAAGTGATGTGGCAATAGTTTAAGCACTACTAAGTGAACAAAGTCGCCTACTCTCCTCTAAAATAAAGTGTATTTTATTGGATGCTTAGAGCTTACGGCTTTGTGGAGTAAATCATTGCACTTCCCTCATATGTGGTACCAAAACATTGAGGCAAAACTAGCGAGACTTCTAGAAGACGCAAAACTTCGATTCAATGAAGGAACTGTTTCACATGACCGAGGTAAAAGAAGAATGGTTGGTTTACACCTCCACACGAAGCATGAATAAACAAATAATCTACTTTTTGTATTGAAAAGTTTAAAAGTCAATGTTGACTTTTGATCTTTGACGAAATCAAAAGGTCCACTTTTCATACTCGATTTTCGATATTTTTATCACACATCCTGAATACCTATACCTTAGCGCCTTAATCATATATATATATATATATATATATATAAGTATATATATATATATACTTTTTTGAGATTTACGCCGGACGTCGAAAATATCGACAAAATAAGAGAAATGAGCGAAGTTTACCGGCATATTAGCAGTCGTAACATCGCCCAGGAGCTATAAATCGATAAAAAAGAAGCTCGATGTTTAGGTGCCACACCAATTAACAGAAAAAAATAGGATGGATCGAATTTCAATTGACCAGAAACGGCCAGAATTGGTAAACAGGATAGATGTCGTGTTCCATCAGAACAACGCTAGGCCACACACATCTACAGCGACTCGCCAGATACTTCGGGAGCTTGGTTGGGAAATTTAAATGCATCGGCCATACAGTCCGGATTTGGCACCAAGCGATTATCATATTGCAAAATTTCATAAATGCGGTGCATATTTGGACTTCCAAATCGGACTTTCCGAAGCATGTTAAATAAAGTCCTATAGTTCATAAAAAATTAATGGATTTCTTTTTCCCCAACCTAATATATCCTTCTTTGAAAGTTTTATGTGCCATTTACATAAAACCGGACGAAAATATAAATGGGCGCTATATTTAAATCTGAAAACATCGCAAACGTCAAATTGTACTTAAGGGAAGCCCCCATTCTCGATTTTAATTTTTCAAGATTTTCAATGGGCTGGTAAATCAATACCAATGCTTGTTAAGGTTTGTAACTTTGTACATATATATTTGAAGATTTAAAAGTGAAGAAAAATAATTTACAAAAAATTTTTGTTCTTGTTTTGTTGTTGTTTTTTGTAATTAAAAAGAAGTCCTTATTTTTGATGGCGGGCATGATAACTCCTCACTGGAAGTGAGGAGTTGTCAAAATGGCGGACCTTTGACAGAATATTTTTGGAAATTCGCCGATTTTTGAACAAGAACCAAGTTAAACAAGTGAAAAAGCGTTAAGTTCGGCCGGGCCGAACTTTGAATACCCTCCACCATAGTTGTACTGACAGATACATGAAATGAAAATATAGGGAACATACCAAAAAGTGGGCATATACCGATAATTCTACAAACCGATTTATGTAAACCATTATGTACACCAAATACAAACTTCAGCAATTTTTAATGGGGATTTTTTCTAAAATCTGTAAGATCCAACAAGTGGACTGATACTGATAACGCATGGTAGAGTATAAAATCCTCAAACTACTGTAATTTAGATTACAGAGGGTATGCCTAAAGGGGGGGCCAATATTGATTACATAGTATAGTATATATATGAGGGCTATGCCTAATTAATGTCCGGTATATACCAGTTTTGAACCCAATATATTAATTGTATATCTCAATTCTTTCCTTCAGGAGGTATCACTCTATTGAGGAGATGACTAAATGTCTACCAATATATTTCATTATCGTCATATTTGAGTTTTTTTTTTATCACAATATCTTTAGAAGGCGGAATGCTTACAACAGATGGCTAAATCGTCTTTGTAGGGTACAAATTGACTATTCCCCGCAACACAACCCAACCGCTACACACGGAACAAATCAGATAACTATTTTAATATAAAAAAAGGGGGTTATATGGGGACTACCCCTAAAAAGGGTGAATTTTTGGTGGGGAGAGTTGTTACCATATACGACTACAAAATACCAAATTTCAGCGAAATGGGTTGAAAAACGTGCTCAAGAACCTCAAAATATCGAAAATTGCGGGTACCCTTATATGGGGGCTACCCGAAAAAATTGACCTATATTTATAATTTTTAGTATAGAGATTTGCTACCCAATAAGAACTCAAAGTACCGAATTTCAACGAATTCGGTCGAAAAATGTGATCAAACCCCCCAAAATACCGCAAAATTGGGGGTACCCTTATATGGGGGCGATCCCAAAATATGGACCTATATTTATAATTTTTTGTGGAGACATTTAGTACCCAATACGAAACCAATGTAGCAAATTTCAGCGAATTTGGTTGAAAAACGCCCTCAAGAACCCCAAAATACCGAACATTTTGGGGTACCCTTATATGGGAGCTATGCCTAAACGTGGACTGATATATCCCATCTTCGAACTTGACCTGCCTGCAGACAAAAGACGACGCTGTGCAAAATTTTGGCGATCTATCTCAACTCGTTTAGACGCTAGAGTGATTACAACAGACGGACAGACAGACGGACATGCTTAATTTTACGCTGATCAAGAATATATATACTTTATAGGGTCGGAAATGATTATTTCGATGAGTTACAAACGGAAAAACAAAATTAATATACCCTCCATACTATGGTGGAGGGTATAAAAATAATATACCCTTCATACTATGGTGGAGGGTATAAAAATAAGGAAGATCTTCACCGATTGACTTTATCCTAGTTCATACGATATCTATACACTCACAGAGAAACGCGTAAAGATTTGGAATCGATTGGGTTATTAGTTTTTGAGTTATCGTGCCCGCCATTCGCAAAAGAGAAAAAAACGTTTAAAGTTTGAGAAGCCCTTTAGCCGTCACTTGATGCTGAAACAATAATCGGCAAAGACTAAATATCTTCAAGAATTCTTGAAGATAATTCTTGAAGATATTTAGTCTTTGTTGCACCATTTACTTAAAAACGTACGAAACTATATATGGGAGCTGCATATATATCTGAACCGATTTTTCCCAATTTCAATAGGGTTCGTCCTTGTGCCAAATAAGTGGGCTGTGCTAAATGTCGGGTCCGGGATACGACATGTACTTTGTTTAAAATTTAACAATGACAAACGGACGGGCGGGCATACATAAATCGACTCAGAAAGTGATTCTATGAATATTCTTAAAATAACCCATGAGCCTACAACGTTTAATTTTGTCTGTCACAAACATATGCAAAATAAAATTACGACTAATCGAACATAATACCATAGATATAAAATTCGAATTCGGCATTTTCATAAATTTTTGGTAAGTTCTAAAACTTTTGCATTCCGGTGTAAATTGGTGCTTTTAAAAATTGTTTGTTAGAATTTATTATTTGTCATTATTTTTATCAAAACATCACTTGTTGTTTAAAAAAAAAAACACACACACACTTCAACACTAGTATCTTTAGTAGACATTAAGTAATTTCATTTATACTTTGCCAAAAAAAAAAATATCTCAAACCAATTCAACACAGAGACACACAGGGATAATAAAAATTATCCTCTTTGGCCCATAAAATTGCCAATGCAAACTAAATTTCCAACTAAAACCTGACTAGTTTCACAGTTATGTTTGTTCGTTTGTTACCACACACCGACAACAACAGCTGATGATGATGATGGATCTATGAACGGCAATGTCCATAAAATCATAGCTATTTCTATGCCTTCGTATATCATTCTTCACGTCCATGCTTTGCCGTAATCCCTTAGGTCATGGTGCATGAATGCCGCTTAAAGGCGCCACGATGTGATGGACTTTTGCTGCCTTTGGCCGATGTAAACGATGGCAACGATTGACGTCTTCTTCGCACCGCCGGACTTAGATTATAGCGAATGTTGGCCTGTACCAAGAGCTCCTTAAATATTTGTACAATTCCAGTATTTTCCTTGGCCGAACATTCGATATAGCCGCAGTGCCAATCTTCGCACACCACCATTTCGGTGACTTCATATTCGACTTGTCGTTCACTCTCGTCCATGTCGATTTTATTACCGACCACAACAATGGGTGGTTTGGTGCCTTTCTGTGTGATAATCTGCAATGAAATCGAAGAAGAAAAAAGAAGACAAAGGACAAGGATGAGTGTGTGTGCACAAAAGTGATTAGAATTACAAAAATTTGCCACAACACATTGCTATGCAATGATAATCTTGTTAATCAAAGACTAATTCTGTGAAATAACTGCTTGGGGTTTGGATTCGAATAAGTAGAGTCTGCCAAAGTGAAAAACCTCAACATTCTTGTAAATGTCATATGAGTAGATAATATTTCATGTACATATGTATGACAGTGTGTGTGTGTGCGTAAGTGTAAATGGATGAGTGTGTAATTAGTGTTTGTTCTTGGAAAATGCTATCCAACTTTCAAAAAATTTTCTTCGTAATAACTCTGTACGATATTTAATGCTGTGGCTAAGATGCCACATTTTGTGGGAATCTTCACCGAGAAGATTCCGTCTGTTCACTAAATTCTTCCAGATTTGGTACCATTCTGTACTTTTCCTACACTCCCACAGTAACCTAAATTGTATCTTTCAGAATTCGAGTTATACCCGTTCACCAAAGTCCAAATTGTACTGAATTTTGTGCGGTTCGTACCCATAAGTACAAATTTCCAAAACTAACTCAGTCATGCACTCCAATAATAACCTTAAGTCCAAATCCAATTACACACTACAACAGTAATTTCAATCATAAATTTCAGGATCCCAGCCCTATCCGTTCACATACATCCAAGTTGTAATATATTTAGTACCATTTAGTACTTTTTGTACTTATGAGTTCGAATTTCCAACACTGTCTCAATCCTGTGCTATAACAGTAATTTTATTTTCAGATATAAGTTGTCCATCTCCATACTTTCACTCAAATCTAAATTGTACTAAATTTAATACCATTTAGTACACATATTTTCGCAAATTTCTAGCATGCTACATCCAACGTTTATATGAATTCCATGTAATTTTCATTTCAAATTTAAGTGACGAATTTTCAAAACTACCGAACTATCCCAATCCTGCACTCCAACTGTAATATTAATTCAAAATTTTAGAATCTCAGACCTATCTGTTCACACAAAAACAATTTGTAAACTAGTTGGTACCATTTAGTACTTTTTGTTTCTATAATTAAGTATTTCCTAAACTGTTTGAATCCTACACTCCAACAGTAATTTTAATTCAAAAATTCTGGAGTCCAGCTCTATCCGTTCACACATAATTAAGTTGTATCAAATATAGTACCATTTAGTACACACAAGTACTATGCTTCCATATATCAATTTTATATTCCAACTAGACATCTGCATGAATGCACAAAAACACCACCCATGAGTCACTCACACAAAGTAATGGCTTCTATTCTATAAATTTGTTTGAAATGAAGTGCAATGAGTGAGGGTACAACAAACATGAATTGCTTCAGGTATTAGAGTTTCGAATTAGTTGTATATTCGTTTGATTCATACAATCCACGTTTCAGATTCGACGAACCGGTATTCATTGTGTATGTTTACTTCGGTATGAATGTATGTTGTAACACACTAAGTTTGAACAAATGCGGCAAGTTCGTACACGAACATGTTTTACATAATGAGTGTGTCGAATTATACAGTAGTATTCGAATTACCCGAATTAATTGAAGAGATATTATGGTTTTTATACAATCCACAAAAGTATGAAGGGTATGTTAAGTTTTTTTTTGTTTGTAACTCATCGAAATAGTCATTTCCGCCAAAAAAAGTATATATATTGTTAATAAGGGCAACATTTGTGAATATCTAGTAATGTATCCACTATATAGCTCTACTTCTCTTTTTTCAATATTTAGATGTTTTTAAACGTACTTTTAAACATATAAAAATTGGTTTTAATTTGGGTTCGAATTGGATACCCCATAGTGTGGGGGATATTCAATACTACAAATTGTCAGTGTATATCCTATAATATGTTAAGACGATTTACTCATTATTAGTTAGTCCGTATGTACTTCTGTTGTAATATTACTACCTTCGGGGGTGTCGAGATACAAAACTAAACCGTTACGATCCAAAATGGCCTTTTTCAGTCCACATTTAAGTATATCCTCCCGAGAAGTAATTAATATTGGTCCCCTTATATGCAAAGCCAATTTTTTATACCCTTCACCACACTGTGGTACAGGTGTTTACAGGTCTTTGTGCATATGTTTGTAACAGGCAAAAGGAAACTATAAGGACATATGGTTCCTTTTTAGTATATGCATAGAATTACTTTCTAAGTCGATTTATGCATGTCCGTCAGTCTGTCCATGTCAAGTTGTAAACCAAATACAGTTCACATTTATGATCCGAATTGGATGAAATCTGACATAGGTCACTTATTTGGCCCAAGGACGAACTCTATTGAAATTGGGAAAAATCGGTCTAGAATGATGTGTATTTTCGTTATTTTCGTCCGATTTAATGTAAATGGTGTGCCAAAGTCCCTATATATCTTTCGATTTGCACGAAATTTGGCATAGCGTACTGAATTAGGTCTAGAATGATGTGTGTTAAGTTTCCTGAAAATCGGTTCAGATTTAGATATAACCCCCATATATATGTGGCCGATATGCACAAAACATACTGAAATTTTTATAACAAGTTTCGATTAAATCGGTTTATATTTCGATATAGCTTATATATATATATATATATTTAAATAAATATATTTATCTCTTTTGTTATTGTTGTTTTGTATTGATGAGTAAAGGCGCTAAGTCCAATTTATCACATGTCACTGACTTAACATCACGTAAAGGCTTTAAGTCAACATTTCATATTTAGGATTTTGGACATGATTTTCAGCCGAACTGACTGTAGTTTGGTATTTTAGGTACTTATGGGGTAGGATACCTTCCAACAAAAATATCAATATTGGTCTACTTTTTAGGGTACCGCACAATATTCGAAATTTTTGATGGTTTGGGTACGTTTTTCAAACGACTGTAATTTTATATTTAGGACTCTAAATTATCAATATTGGTACAAGTTCCCCCATATTATGTTACCCCATTTTCGGTATTTGTTATTTTTGGTTCTCATTGGGTGTCCAATCCCGGTGTCCGCGATATGGACCCCACAAAGCTGTACACCAAATTTTTGACAATTTGAGGATTACGGTATGTACAAGGTCCTAGCCCAAATTTCCAATAGCCTGTATTTTTTATATTTCTCTTGGTAGTTATTTACCATGGCATAAAACCCATATAAAAATACCGATCAATTTAAAAATTTGACTGTTCACCTCACGGCGGTGAGTATAAAAAGGTCGGCCCTGTCGAACTTAAGGACGTTTTACTTATTTGTATTCATATTTTTTAATAAACAATCTCTACTCTACTTAATAACATTAGCATGTAAAAAATCAACAAAAGTCTTTAAGTCCCAAAAGAAGTGCGTATGTATTTCCGCAAATACTTATTTGTACTCCTCATATAACTTTGTACTCTAATTTGCAATATTTGGGAAAATTTTCTGCATAGGCCTATTTTTGTATATCCCTTAAGGAAGATTCCGACGTTTTTTCTTACGTCATTTCATTCAACTTTTACTTATTTTTCTAGAGTTTTTAATTACTTGTATTTAATAGAAAAAAAAAATAAAAGACATTATTTCTCACTATTGCTCACTGATAAATTTTAAAGAGTGTACAAGGTAAACATTTGCATGAATGTACCTGTACAACAATGGTGGGCAAAATTTCTCTAAAAAAATTGTTAAGGGAAAATAAAAACATGAATAATTCTACGGAATTTAATTAATTTAATATTTTTAAAACATAAATAACATCGTAGGAAGTTCAAAAAATAAATGATCGGACAAAGCACAACGAAGAACAACACAACTTCGGTGGTTGAATTCATTTGCACTCATTCAATGTTGTTGTGTACTCTGAATACGACTTAACACCCATGAATGTGGATGGGCATTCATTGTACGAGTACATTCATGCAGATGTCTAATTCCAACAGTAACCGTTATTCCAAAATTTAGGGTTCCAGCTCTCTCCGTTCACCTAAATCCAAACGGTACCAAATCTAGGACCGTTTAGAACTTTTCGTACACATAAATACAAATTTCCAACGATTTTAATCTTCAACAGCAATCTTAATTCCAAATTTCAGATTTTCAGCTCCATCCGTTCTCCCAAAATCCAAATTGTACTAAATTTAGTACCATAACTCAATCCTACACTCCAACAGCCATTTTAATTCCCAATTTAAAGACATAAGCTCTATCTGTTCACCTAAATCCAATTTGCACCAAATTTAGTACCATTTAGTACTTTTCCTACACATAAGTACGATTTTTTTAAAGCTGAAAAGATTAGTACTTTTCTTACACTTTTAGGCCGAATTTCCAAAAACCGTTTTGTACATCTTTCTAACATTCTATCAATGACCCACATTACTCTTCCCGCCTTATCTCACGCCTACACACCAACAACAACCCACACTCAAAATTTCAAGCTTCTAGCTTTAGCCGTTTCGTCTGGGCGATGATCTGTCAGTCACTCACTCACTTAACACTAAGCTCTTTTATATATAGATTAAGGAGAATAATAAACCCCATTTTATATAAATATGAATGAATCATTTTACCTCCCATACGAGGTGTGATTAATAAAAACCCGGTTATTTTATTTTTTAAAGGATTTGTTTATTCATCTTCTAGTCCACTGTGAATTAATCCCCCTATGATATATTTCTGCCAGCGTTTTGCTAAGTTTGCTTAAAATCGGATAGTCAGTTCCCATTATTTTTTTAGTAGTGTTGGCGCAAATTCAGTAGCTTTGTTCAGCAAAATATGAAATATATCCAGGTTGGAAACTTCCTTTTAACTAAATAGAAGCACCCTTATAATTGAGGGAATGAAGACTTCGTCCGGGCCGATCAAAAATTCCTTAAATCAGTAGGGACATCTAAATGGGCACTATGTTATGGTTTATGCTCTGAAAAAATGTTCACGAATAACAGCTCCTCAGATTGGAAATTTCGGGTAGGTATTTAAACGGGA